GGATTGCAAGGGACAATGTTGTATTTGGAGCCGACTTGGTATGCAATTCGGGGTTTGAGTGTGCACAAACTTGTAGTTTTATTTTGAATGCCCTTTGCTGTGCAAAGCTCTGATGACTTTCTTTCTTAATTCTCGTTTGTGGTGACAAACTATTTTAGAATCTAATTCGCGTTATTATAAAAAACACGTTTCAAAACGATAACTATTGGCCGACGGGTCTTTTTATTCATTTCATAATGCAAATATTCGTTTAGCAAGTACATTGCATCTTATGCCACGAAATAAAGTAGATCTGCAATGTTGCTATTCTGGCACAATTTGGAAAACGGAGTTACGATATAAGCACGTTTAAAGTTTATCCAGATAATTTAAATGCATGAATTACACATATTATGAGGAACAGGCTTGTGTATTTTATTATTCATGAAATTATTGAACAGTATTAAGAAGTAAACATTACTAAATCATTTCGTAGCAGATTTGTTAATTTTCCTCTAATTATAACATATACAATCTTATAAAATAAATTTCGTAACACAAAATCCGTAGTTTTCACGTTTTGCCTATGTTGCGGCCAATGAACAATATATTATCCCGTTTACATGTTTACCTGAAACATGTACTTATCATAAGCAATTGTCCCCGTTATTCTCAATAGGTTCTTAATTCTTTATTCCATGTTCTGATTGATTAAATTTGAACCCTTCTTTCTGTATGGGAAAATAGAGAAGAGAGAATGAATCTCTAGAAAAACGATATTTAAACAATCACATGCGCAAATGAATTAAAGTTTTGTAACTCTGGCTGCTCTTTTGTAATCAATTTCGATAGTATTTGTGGTACCTTGATCCAATGTTGTTCAGCAAACCCCTTAAAAAATTAAAATAAAAAAGGAACTCGTCACTTATAAAGAGTAAAGCGAATAACTAGAGAATCTTTTATAAATATTGAGTGTCAGTATAAAAATCAATGTCGGTGTCATTACGGACTCAAGCGTCAAGCAGTTGGTTCTAAATATAATTTCATGGGTGGAGTAGTGTGCATAACTCCGATCACTTGGCTCATGTCGTGATTTCTGTAGGGGCAGGGGCCGCCGACGCAGACGCCGTGCTGCAGGCCTGGGTCTGGCTCCGGCTCGCAGCTGCGCGGGGGCCGCAGGTTCGACAGGAGAGAGAGCAAGGAGGTGCAAACGATCTACCCCAGCGCTGCTGCCTCCCGCTCCCTTCTCCGAATGTCCACCAGGAGGGGCGGCCCCGTCCGCCCTCCATATCCCCCCCTCCAGGCGGACTGGACGCAGACCTCCAACCACGCCTTCCACTACTACGGCGGGCCGCCCCCGCGCGCCCCTCCTCAAGGCCCTCCCACGCAACCCTTCCGCCAGGAATGGCCCCGCGCCTCCGCCTACGCCAACCAATGGTCGCAAACGTCCCAACACCGCTTACCACCTCCCTCTCCGATGAACCAGGCGAGGCACACACAGACGTCGAGCTACGCCGTGCAGCAACACATGGACGGTCCACCTCCGAACCAGCAAGGATGCTGCACAGGACGACCCTGCATCAATCCGGTCATCTGCCCCAGCACTGGCTCCACCACCTACTCGAGCCCGCTTCCGCCACCCCAGCCGGCGTATTTGGGATCGCAGAGTCAAACGAGGGACAACCACGCTCGTTGGAGACAGCCGCCGTATTCGCAACCACCTTTGCAGCTGATGGATTGGACTCAGACGCAAAACTACGCGCACGATTGGACGCAGACGTCTAATTACAGATTGAACCAATTCGATGGGGCTCCTCCTGTGTCTGGACCCTCTCAGCAAATATGTTGCACGGGGCTACCGTGCAGGTACCCAACCATCTGTCCCGGAAACGTCGCTGCTTCTTCCGCGTATCCTCCCTTCTACCAAGCCTCTCAGGGAAGCCAACACTACCAACAGGGGAATCAGCAACCATTTTCCCCTCGACCGCAGATGGAACAAACGGACTGGACACAAACGTCACTCAGCAACGTCGCATCTCACAGGACGCAAGCATCCACCTATGGCCTACCGCCAGGCGGAGCTCAATCGCGACCAGCGGCTGTTGGAGATCGGCGGCCGGAGATTCCGTTCGGCTTCCAGGGGCCGTGCCAGGCGCAGAACCGATGCTGCGTGTGCGACCAGCCGCGAGGCCCCCCGCTTCCGGTGCCCGCTCCGGAGCGCGGCCCAGCCACGCCGTCGGCGGCGGAGCTCCCGCAGGCCTCCTTCAGCTTCGAGAGCCCCGAGGAGCCGCGAGTGCGCGTGCAGGTGAGGCCTTCCGGGAGCTCAAGCGGCCCAGCGTTTCATCGACTCTTAGTGATTAAGGACGCGGTAACTTTTGAGATAATTAGTTCCGTAAGTGTCTAGTCAGTGCGGTTTTTGCTAGGGAGGTGATGGTCTTCCCCCGGTGTGTGGCGAGATCCGGCGCCGACCTACCGTCGGTTAGTGGCGTTTTCCCTGAGCACGTTTCTCCCACCAGCGGGGCACCGCCCCAGTCGGTGCAAGGTCTAATCTCACGGCCGGTCTCGCGGCACGTGTGATAGTGTAGTGCGTACTTGCATAATGGTGAGTAAGGGGTGACGAGAGGACAAGGAAGAGGTAGGAAGTATCCCGCGCAGTCCGTGGCCCGTTTGCTAGGGTATTCTGAAGTGGAAGAAGTTCAGCACTGTCGCGACAGAACACGATTGTTCGTCTAGAACTTTCCAGTAACCCCTGATATGTAAGATATGTACATACAAGAATATTATTACATTATTGTTTTATTAAATGCAAATAATACCAGATGTATAGATAATTACATATACTACGAATTAATAACTCCAACTTTATGTTGGAGCATAGAAATCTACAGTTTGCAGCACACACTGTTCCTTGACTCGGGAACTAATTCGATATAGCATCACCGAGAGATCGATTAAAGTGTTATAAGCTGCCCGCTAAATCGAGTGGATTAGCGGGCTCCCCTATCACTTCGATTTCGAGTTGGCGCAAGCGCAGAGATTGAAAAGTGGAGTCGATTACATTACACCATGCCGTGCTTAAAATTTCAGAGAATAGAAAGTTTTGTAAGGCGTATCATAAAACATTACGTTGTACGTTAGAGGCAAATATGTGACATGTATTGTCTGATTTGTAAAAGGGTATTTAACCTCTTTATTTGTTCATCATTACAAACTTGAGGTCAGGCGCACTATATATAATTATAATAGTCAATATAACAGTAGTGTTCTAAACGTGCCATTAACAATAATCATCAGTTTCATAATGTTCATACCAGTATTCTGAAAGTCCATGAACTCTTAATAATTGCTGTCAACATCGTCTGTCACATTCGCAGGATGAATAGTCAGATTTAAACGAAAATTCTAATAGAATTTTAACAAAAAGTGTATGAATTTGGTATTGTAACTTACAATTCTTATTTCGTACATAATTATTCGGAACATTTTATTCTAAGAGCACCATAAATGACAGTAGCTTTGAACTATGACGGGAGGGTATACTCCTACGGCTAAATACCCATTTGCCACATACTCTTGATTTGCGCTTATTCAAGTAGAGCTACTAGTCAAATTGATATGTCTGCAATTACCCGTACTAATGGAGGTGATATATTGTAATTAATATTTAAACTTATCTTCTGGGTCAATGACCTTATCCCAATGAGGGTTTTTTCTCTGACCATTTGAGCGATAGGTCAGGTAGCGCCTTATTTTGTTTCTGGACATTAATTTAACTTCCGGATCTGCGCGTGTTTGCTAGATTTCTGTGAAGAATAGTTATTCTTGTATTGATATATTTCTGTGAATAGTTATTCAAACTATTGTTCTCCATGTTCACATGACAGTAATTCTATTCCTTTACTAAGAGCGGGATGAGGGATAATAGCCAAAATGTTTAGTTGATTTGCCTTTGTATGTAGTTTTTATTTCATAGAAGAGAATATATTCTTGTAAGTTCCTACAAAACCGCTCGTTTACACCTGTATACCCTTTTTGACTCATCTGGGTATTTGATGCTCAGAATTTAGGAAAATTTGCGCAGAGTACACTTCACAGAGTTTTTGCCTGTTTTGACGTTAAATAAATAATTGATGTTGCATCATGGGGAGTAACGATAAACTATTCCGCAGTGTGGAACAAATTCCTATATGATCACATCAGTCGAATCAAACACAGTATTTTCGACTCAATCACTGTCTTGTCTAATCAAAGCGATTTTTTTTCTTTCTTTGACGCCCGTGACTGGCGAGGAAATTATTTGCATTCATTTCAAAAACGTATAACTTGGGCAGGCTTTTCGCTCCGTATTATTTTAGCATTGCGTCAACTCGAAAGTGTTCGTATGAAATCAACGCATTTATTTACCTAAAAAATAAAAAAAGTACTTTTTGAAACTTCTTGTTTTAATAAATATTATTTACCTGCATAAGTATGTGATTAAAATTTAGTGTTTAGCTAGTTTGAATTAAGCAAGTAAGCAACTAGGTTCTACGCAATTTTGTATTAATAATCTTTCCGTTTGCATCAGTTTGATGACTTAGTTCTCACGCTTAAGTCGCATCTGCTTTCTGACAATCTGTATCATTTCTTACAATATTCTATTTCGTGAAGTTTTCGAAACAATATAAAGCACCGGAACAAAACTATCCCTAACCTCTCAACTGCACGCCAACTCAAAAGCCATGGATGGCCACGCAAGGCAGCGAATTGAAGAATTTCTCTTGTTTAGACTTTCATTTGAGGGTTATCGTGTGAAAAGATATCGAATTCGTCTTCATCCAAGAGCGCTACTTCTCTGTACGCCCTATCTTGGGAACAATATGTTGCTGTTTGTACTGTGCGAGATTCGAACTCACTGTGCCGGAATATTTCTGCATAGTTCTTAACAAGAACGAACACATAGCCAAACACTCAAACTAAATTTATTGCCACAAAATTAACTGGCTCAACGTTAGTTTTAAGAACGACTTTCCACTACTTACCTTTGCGTCGCATGTCCCCTGCACGTTCCCGCACCCCACACCACATCCCATCCCATCCCAGCAATCGTCTAAGGTCTGCTGGCGCTCTGGGAGGGCATCATGCGGAGACGGCCGTGAAGTCTAGAGAGGAGAAAGGATTAGCTCTTAACTGCACTGCAGGATTCTAGGTACTACATCAAATGCGCAGTCGGGATCAATTGATCCCGATTATTTCGTGAGTAATAAACTTTCAATGTTTCTTTTCTTTCCCGTTTACGGAGCATAGAGAAAATGATGTAATATTGCAAAAAATCAATGCCTAGATTTTGATGGATATACGTCTTTCGGGGTTCCTGTTTCTGGAAAAGTAATTGTTTATTGTTGTTTTTTTAAAATGTCTTTCTCAGTCCGTCCTAGCTATCTGGCTATCTGTCGGCCTGTTCGTCTGTCACTCCGCCTGTCAGTCCCTCTATCACTCCATCCGTCTGTCAACAATATGCTAGTATTATTAAATAGATTACAGGATTTTCACGAAAATTGATAATCACCAATCGATCTGACTGATGTCACAAACCCTTGAATTTCAATCGGATGTTTTAATTCCTCGGCTACTTTACATGAAACTGCAAATGTATTTTAAAAACTTTTATAACCCTACTTCACTCTATTGAAGTAAACAATTAAATAATGCCATGTAAGCGTTTCTGAAAATGTATGTTCGCGAAATTTTGAGTGACGGTTACAAATAATGCGAAAAAATATGTGTTGTAGCACTCCTAGCATATTTACACATTTACTTATTTTCTACTTGTATTGTTTACATTTCGTTACAAGTTTTAATTGTTTAAACACAAAAGTCTTTGAAAACATACATTTTTACAAATTTGACATTTTTCTTTTTTTAATGCCCGTAAATATCGATTTTAACTTAGCTTTAGATTTCTTTTTTGGTGCATACACGTAAGTGCTTCTTGGCGCATGAAAATACAAAAGCGTTATCAAAGACAGATTCCCAGACGCCAATGAAGAGTATATGGGAAAGCACAGCTGACAGGTGAACTGCTTAGGTTGTTAGTTCCGGAAGTGTAAGGCATGTTTTTTGAGGGAGGTGGTGGTGACCCTCCCACTCTGGATGGCAAGATCCGGCGCCAACCCCCTGTTGGCTAGTGGGAGTTTCCTCTTCCAGTTATCTCCCACCAGGAGGACACCGCCCTAGCCGAGACGAGCTCTGAGCTGCCGACGTGTGCGCTGCATGTTACTGCGTGTGTAAGAAAGGGGTGGGGAGATGAAAAGGAAGAGAATTTTATAAGATCGTGCGCGGTCTGTCGCCCATTTGGTAGGTAACTGCTCCGGCATTGTGGATGTTAGGAGAAACCACGGAAAACTACCCATCAAAGAAGCTGTCTGCTGGAATTCTCCATCGGACAGCGACTGAATTCGACCCAGCTGTGAAGCTAAAGTTGAAAATTCTGCCATCGCCGAGATTCGAACCTAAGACCTCTCGGTCAGAAGCATTGCAATAACATCACCTGATGCCCTGAAGCACCTCTTCCGGTGTGTGACTGGCACGTACTGAGTTGTATCGTGTATTTTCGTCCCAGTGGTGTCGCTGCCGTGTGCGCTCCGCCCGCACTGTGCTGTGATCTGTCGTGCACAACGAGCTACAATATAAAACATTGAGTGACTGTCCCAATAATTTGAGCGCTCTTGGTGGAGGCTCGCCGAACAAGAGGCCGCCATGTTTTTTGAAGTCAAAACATACGAGGAGCAGTGTAACCGACCGTAAGCAGCGCCAAACGTAATGCTAGAAAAGTTTGTTTCCCAGAGGGCGCTGCTTTGCCTGCAGATAACCTGTCTTCAAAGACGAGGCGCTCCAGCCACTCTGTAGTGCATTCCAGCCGGCTGGTTGTCGGCAGGAGTGCCCCGGGCTGCCGCTGTCGCACTCGTACCTGGTGGTGCCGCTGGGGCGCGCGGGCGAGCGCGACGCCGCCGCCGTCGACGCCGCCGCCAGGGGCGCTGCCCGCGCGCTGCCCGCGCCGCTGCGCGTCGCCGAGCGCCCCGACGCCCTCCTCGTGCAGTGCCGCCGCGGCGCCGACGCCCAGCTGCGCGTGCTCGCCGAGGACGCCCCCGCCCCACACGCGCAGGTCAGCTCACTCTTCCCAGCCGCTCCCACCTACTGGCCATGTCCCATAAACAGTGGATAACCTATTCGATTTTAACATAGCTTTCAGTCATTTTCAATATTTGACGAATTTTGGAACTCTGATGGACATCATTTCCTTCATGGAATAGTTATAAGGATACAGCGTGTGTTGGAAATTGTCGATGTATTCCCGTCTCGCGAAGCGAAGAGGGTATTTATCAGAGGATTTCCAAAGCACTCGTGATATTACCTGTGATAAATCTCCGTGCAACGCGGGGAACTTGAGCTAGCAGTGGCAAAATTCCAACACGAATTACGTCCGTTGCGCAGGCCCCCGGCGCGCAGCTGCCCTCCCCTTTCGCCGCCCGCAGCCCCGGGGACCCCGCGCCGGGCGCCGCCCCGCTCTTCTCCCGCGGCATCAACTTGAACGTGACGTTTCCGCTGTCCGAGGTGACCGGGCGCGCCCTGTACCACAACTCGCCCGTGGCGTCGCCATCGCCGCCGAGGCCCGTCTTCAGCGAATGTAAGAGTTCTCACATTATCAAATATCTGTCAGTTCACTTTCTGCAAAATAAGGGTTTAAATTGATTAATCGTATATAACATGTAGGCTTTCAATTCGTCAGACATTGTTGCGCCGAATGTCAGACAGACAATCTTATATAAGAATCACTCATACAAATCACTTATCAGTATTAAGTATTTAAATCCTGTTTTTGAAGAGAATACTAGTTCTCACTGTTCAGAATGCTTAAAAAATTTGGTCGAATATTTCATGTTAATTAATTTGCTTTTATAGCAGAAAAACATTAATACTAAATCTATCGTGAACCTCTTCACTACATTGTTTGTAATATTCATGATTCTCTTATTGTTTGTTGTTGTTTAAAAAACTTAACTTTTGTATTTTTACATAAATAAACAAATTGTTGTGGCCCCATAATTGTTAGATTTGTTATTTATGATTAAAAATTAATCAATTCTACAACCACACAATTCAACTTCATGATTAATTCTTTCCAAAAGGACCTTGACAATCAGCCATCGCAACCAGTTGGAGAACTAATGATAACCATTGCTGTGCCCTTCAGTGGGCGGTCGGTGGCCGTTGAGGGGTAGCCTCCCCAGGTTGAGCGCAGAGGGCCCAGGCCTCGTGCGGCGGCCGCCGGCCCCCGCCCCCCGCCCGCTCGGCAACCTCCTGCGCTCGGGGGCGTGGGCGCTGCCCCGCTTCTCCGCGCAGCTCGACTCGCCCCCCCGGGCCTTCCCGCGCAGCTCCGCGCACCCGCCGGACCAGGTACCGGAATCCCCACACACCACTTCACGACATAATGTGACACAAAGTCACTCGGTGATAAGAAAGAAATAACAATGGCCTCTACGATGGTTCGTGGGCAGCATTCTAGTTTCCCGTGGTGTGGCCCCGAGTTCAATTTCCCGTAGAGTCAAAAATAGATTTGGCATAAGAGGAATAAGAGCTCAGGCAGGCGGATTTTGCTTACGCTGAAGGAAATACGGCGTGTTCACCACGTGCCGCTCTGACCCCCAAGCATGGGAAGTTATCTAGGTTCAGTCCTGGGAGACACCGTTAGCTGCTCGGTAAAGTCAGACTATCGACCCAAAACCTCAAATACACATATCAGTAATAATAGCAATCAATTAATATTCTTATCGTTAGATTTATGTGTATACAGATGAGTTATTTCAGAGCGGAAACACCACCGTGTTCCTCATATTATTAGAAATAAATAATTTCTCTGCTATGTTGGCATCAGTAGCACAGATTCCCATACCAAGTGATTTTTTAATTTTTCTATTACGTCTTTTCTGTATATAATCGCGGCTTTATGCGAATTTTCAACGCTCGGTGCGCTGCCGTGGACTCGCGAGATCATTAACGTGGTTTGTGAACAACGAGTGCACTGTAATTCTGACGGCCGGTAGGCGGGTTCAGATGGTCAAAAGTCGGGCGCGATCGCAAGGTTGCAGACTATCGTACATGGCACTTCCATTTCGTCAACTTACAAATGTTCGTTTTTATTTGTTTGTATACAAAAAAGGTATATTTTCCTTCGGTGATACTAAGAACTATTCTCAGTCTAGACTCACAGTGTGCACAACCTTTTGGAGATCATAGAAAAATCGTAAAGAAATTGGGTTCAGAAACAAATGATTTCTCAGTAAAGTTACTTAAATAACGTTGATTCATCCAACTGAAAAGATGGTAACTTCAAATCTGTTCGTAGTTACTCATAAATCTTATTGAATTTTTTGTACACAGAGGCAGAGTCAAACAAGATCTTCTGATTTCAACTGAGATGAAAGTATCCTAACACTTACCAAATGCTATAAATGTTCCTGACTGCGTGGGTTATCGTACTGTGTATGTCAGAAAGAAGATAATCTGATATACCACCAAGATTAGAACTAAACAAGGTAAATGCTCGGTTTCCGTACTCGTAAAGAGGCTGAGTGGGCAAAGCGGATATTTATATTTCAAACGAAGAAGCTATAGGACGAGTGAACACCATTGAAATAGATGGTAGTAGTATCCAAACCATTGGTTAAGTAATTAGTTAGGACTAACTTTTTTATTGCTTGAGATACTTTGAGAACTTTTGATGATTTGAAAATGCTTTTACATGAGAACATGACAACCCATTATGAAATATTGCGACTTCTATGTTTCAATGTTTTGCAGAATTGTAAGGGTAGTATAGACAATTCGAAAATATAGTTCAATTCATGACACTTAATGTTAATTGTTGCAAACACATACAAGTAACCAGGTACAGGTTACATGAGCGAGCAAATAGGTTCGTAAAAAGACGAAAAAAATAGTATTTGAAGTGATTTAATGGAAGATTGCTAACTCTAGTGAGGAAACACTTAACGCACTGGCGATTGCTTAACGAAGTTCTGATGTGTTAGCGATCCTTTTAGAAATCTCATTTTGACCAACAGAACAATTATTATACCATACGTTAGATTTTTCTCGCCCA